AGTGCCATAGCGATTGTTTTTTTAATTCATTCACATAATAATTCGAGTATACCATACCAATAACATAAATATATATATTTTAAATGCACATTTATAATTAAAAAAAGGAACTTGAATATGCTTTGTGACGTTGAGCTGTACTGATGGTATTGCAAGCATATGAATAAAAAATAAGAAATATCAGAAATTTATGATTATCATTTCAAACAAAAAAAGTTTGTCGGCTAATATAGTTCTTCTCTGGACACAATGTATTGAAGTTTATAACATTAAGATCAACAGGAATAGTTTTGTGGTCTGCAGTCTATTTTTATCCCGGATTCCCCTACATGTATGAATCAATATCAGAGATTCGCTTAATTTATTGTTTAATTCATGCAAAGTAAGTATTTAATATTAATGGATTTTAACCCGTCTGTTGACGATTCGAGACATCATATGCATCAAGTTTCATTGATTGAGATATAATGCGTAGTTTGAGATACCTCGAAGCTAATTTATGCGAAGTGAAAATAACAAAACCAACCAATGATAGATCATTGAACACAAGTCGTATAGGGTAACTACGTGTGTGGAGTATTCCAAGCGTCTATGTTTAATTGTGATAACCAGTTCCGAAGATATCAGTAAAACAGACGTATATATACATACCAGTACATACAGACAGGGTAATCGGCAGACTTCCATCGTGTGCTTCGCACCTGGAAAGTATAAATCACATTTGGAGCTAAAGGAAAATATACAGAATGTGTATAGAGCATTTCATTGTGAAATATACGTTCTAGTTCTTGATGTTGGTATCATGACAGGTATGCAGTTAATTAACTTCTTCAGTCAACTATGTCGACACACTCGATTGTTCATACAAAAAACTGTTAAATTTCAGGTGATACCAAACAGATGTAAACGGACATGAACAAAATCACGACAGTCAATTCTATACTAGCTATACTAACATTATTATGGTTCATCCTGCAATCTGGAGAAGCTGGCGACAGCATTATTGTAAGTATTGTCTTGAATGTACTTTTAGTAAATAGCTAACGTATTACTATCGTATTATCCATTCCCGACGACCCCCATACAAGGCATAACAATAACGTATGAGCAGATTACAAGAGAATAAAACGATTGCCGAAACGAATGCGGAATTGCGATTAAGAATATCGCGACCAATGTTGTGTCTTTCAGGGATTTTGCGGAGGACGCCATACAGTATGTTTCACGGATAAATGGTGCGCAAAACGAAGCCACTGTAAAGACAAAAGAGAAGAAATGAAACACAGAATTGGCGAAGATGGACGCTGTTGAGATATATTGCTACAAAAAGTTCTACTTCCATAAGTGCGCCATCAGGTGGCAAAAGACAGACAAGAAATCTAAAAAGTCGAACAGAAGTAAACATATTCATAAAGTGCGATTTGTAGACTAATGTGTCAATCACATTTTGGAAATACTAAAATCAATATACCTAATATGAAATAAAATGTTACTTTCAATTATACCAATGGGAGGAAAACAGCAATTTATGTAATATGTGTAATTCAGACAAATTGGGTTTATTCACCAGAAATAAACCCTGCTTGGAACTACTAGGAATTTTAGCTCTATAATACCCAAAGCGCCCTCTACTGACAGGAAAACGCTTGGGTGACTGCTACTGAATGACTGTTCATTATCACCCAAGGTACTGCAAAGTGTCGCTTAAACTTGTATTTTCACCGAACTTGTTTCATCTTATGTTGACTGGAGTTCGTGAACATTGTTGCGGAGAGCTACTTTGTCTATTATTGATTACCTAGAAAAAACTTACACTATACTTCAGTTCATGTTAATTGCGTCGCACTGTTTTCTTTTTCAACATGGCTGACACACTCAATCTAATGGCGGGAAGGCGGAAAACGAGACTTCTTTATGAGGCACCTCGTTTTCATTGTCTTTTTGTTGTGTACTAGTTTCCAATGACGGCCAGTTGTCCGTTTCAGATGGCGTTGGACTGGTGAATGTTTAATGAAGGTTTGGCATTGAATTACAAGACTAAACAGGGAGTATGTCTGTTTTCTTTGTTAAGACCATCACGTAAATGTTGTATTCATGTATGTGCAACTTGATCATACTGTACACTATGTCCGGGTGGCGCCTTTTTGTCTCTACTCTGCCAATAGGCTGCTTTACAGATCATTGTCAGTGTATTAGTAAATTGTGAATGTTCTCTTCTTGTTTCCTAGTGATGTGTGCATACTACCAGACTGTATTGGCCGGTACAGCAATGCTTCAATGTCGTGCTTTTAGATTTTCTCTCTCCAACAGTCTTCAAAGTTCATTTCTAAGTAATCAGACTCTATTCTTTTTTTTCTAACTATTCCCAGTCAATTCAATTTCGATCAAGACTCATTGCTCAAAGAGTCTATTTTGAATAGTTATTTAGGACAAGGATTATCAAATATTATCTACTATATATTATACTGAGTGTTAGCATCGGTTTACTGGTTGAAAGAAATAGTGCCTTGATTTCCCTGGTGTATTTATATGGTCTTCCCGTTCCTACCATGTAGTGTTGTAAATATTATATTTACCACGGTTTGTTATCATGTTGCAAACTCTCACTCTGAAATTGAATTTACAACCTTTCATGTGTATGGTTGTCACAAGTCACATTACTTTGGGAACATTGTTTTGCTTCAGTTATTTTAAATTTCACGATGTGATTTGGCTAGTTCATCCCCCTGTGTTTTCAAATTTTTTTGGGTCGTGAATTTATGTGTTCCATTAAGAATACTACCACATGCATTCCACTTATAAGAGATAACACTTGTCAAGACTGATCAGCAGCCTTATATAATCTGGCAGTGTAGCGCCATTTCACAAAAATATTTTAACATCAGTTTGGAATTCTACATACACAAGAACAATCAGGAATGAAACTCAATTGAAAGGAACTTTGAGGGGGATAAATGGGAACTAAAATTTACCAAGCAGTCACCTTGTGTCTTGCTTATCATCAAACTGATTTTTTTTAGACTCGCGCACGATTAATCTATGGTGAATAAAACCCAATTTGTTGAAGTTCGAGATCTATAATCACACAAATCAAGTATTTAGTGAAATAATGAACAATATGGCCAACGAGGTCATAGCCTCTAATATTTTAGGGTTTACTTAAAAATACAAATTCGTTGGTACCAACAAGCATCCACCGCATTGTGTGATGCTAGAGAACGTGTGCAAGATGAGATCTTAATTACAAGTGCCCACAATACATGAAAATTGTATTCCCTTATTATCTTGTACATTCTTCACAAGATATGCTATTGGATTGTTTAAATACACAAATAGTGACATTGAGGATAGACAGTAACTGTTTTCACTCATGAAATCTGAAAAATTATGCTTCTTTACGTTATACATCAAGTAACAGAAGTATGATTTTTTATTAGTGTAATAATATATTCAAATGTTTGTAAATCAATAAAATACAAAAATTTGTATAAATTGTATTATATAAATTATTTACTATACTTCATATTTACTGTATCAATATAATATAAAAAACAGCAATGGTTTTTGCTTTATTATTAGCATATGTAAATGCACAGGTGAATATGCTCATGATCAAAAGGAATCGTATTGTTAATGAGCCAGCAACTGAAATGAGCAAAACTGGATGTTTATTTTTAAACAGAACAAAACAGTCAAAACTCGGTCAGACATACACATATAAATTAAAACAAAATACAGAACTGTGATAAGAAGAAATGTATTGAGTAATGCTCTCTCCGACGTTCGCACCATACATACGTGATGTCAGTGGAATTCTCTTTAGATACTAAAGTGTAGTAGAAGTATATTTACGAACAAACGAAAAAACGATTAAACACATTTCATTAGAGACGCACTTCTAACATATACAATACTATAATAAAAATACTTTCGTTTGGGATTAGTTTTTGCTATTTCCACTGGAGGAATGATTCAGTGAAAATATAATCCAGCAAATATACCTTTTTTTCCTATATTTTACATTTTACATTCAAGAAATCATTGAAACCAAATTGCATAGAAAACACCCAAAATGTCTTTTCAGAGAAAATAAATTCCAGCTAGAATGAAGTATATTACAGTTTATGGAAAACTAATATAATTAATATATCTTATGTTTTAAAAACTGATATATTGCATGTAATATAATATTAAAATTAAAAAATCAATCACATGTACAAGGTAAAATTTAAATTAGCAAACAATAATTACAAACAATTGTGTACACTTTTAAAAACCAAAGACAACTTTAATCATTGTTCATAAAATGGGAATATGGAAGCTTTTCTAAATAAACACACTTTTTGAAAATATTGCACCAACATTTTGGTTGGATACATTATGGCATTCAAAAAGTTAATGACAGCTAAAAACACATTTTTTCTGCAGAATACTAACAGTCATTAGAACTAGAATTATGTTTATTTAGTTATCAAAACTTGCATAATATTCATAAATTAAATAGAATATGATTATCATTTTGCACTTTGTTTTGGATTCCAGAGATTCCAATAAATTGTGCATTCAACGTCACAGTAGCAAATACAGTATTTTGTAACCAATGGATCTGGTAACATCACTTCCTAATGACGGCTGGAGAGATTTTTGAAATCGATGAACACCCTCATAAAAATAAAAATAACAACATATCAGTGTCAGAAAACAAAACAAAATGATATGCGGACTGGGTTGAACATTCATTTAACAAATTGTGTTTATATTCATGTAAATGGAGCCTTGTTAAAATAAGTCAGGTTTTAATAATTTAGCATACAATAAATGCAAATTGTAGTTCAAGGGCACTAGATCCATTATAGAGATGTACTTCTAAGGTTAAATGATTAAATGCGTTCTTCCTGTTATAAGTTCAAAAACACAAGAGATACTAAGGTTGGTTGCAGAGTGGTGGTCTTCCTGCAGCAAGTTTGAATTTAGTGAAGCCATACAAATTATTTTACATGCATTGTTAGCATCGCGTGAGACCCATATTAATATGGAAAACTTACCTGTGTGAATCATTGCAATTCGTAATTCTTCAGTTAGTATATTAAAAACCTTTTTGATACCTTCTTCACCCTGGAAGTAATTTGAATGAAAGCTCAGCACTAGTTAACTTCAATTTCCCTACTAAATATATATCATATGAACAAGAAATCCATCAGAGATGACAAATACATCTTTATTAAAATCGCTGGTTGAACGCCTATAACTGCAATAACTCGAAATATGATATTTATGCATTTGTAATTAGGTAACTAACCAAATATGATTATTGAACATGTTTATTATATCATGAGCCCAATGTGTGTAACAAACAGCATTCAATATCAATGCTTGGTGGTCATCAAGCAGCATGTGTTTGAATTTCATGTAAACAAATGAGTTACCCGGTACATGAGTTGCGTACATCCCATTATTATACTGATGGAATATGATAATAACAATAATATTTAAAACAAGATCTAAGTGTGCAAGACATACTTTAATTCTATCTGCCTAGGGGAATCATTGTTCTAAAACATTGTTCACTGACCTGGTAGCTTAATCCATACAAAACTGGTCTGCCAATAAAAACACCCTTAGCACCAAGTGCTAAGGCCTTAAACACATCGGATCCAGTTCTAATGCCACTATCAAAATACAAATCAACATCATCCCCAATAGCTGATTTGATTTCAGGTAACATTTCCAGCTTGTTGAAAAATATATGAGAATAACATTTAATACATTATGCTTTTCAGTAATTCGTCAAATTAAGTTTAAGTAGTAATTTTTGCACAAGTTATTTACAAATATAGAGGCAAATTCCTCTCATTTATTTTAAAATTTCAATTTCAATTTCAATATAAATGAGCTGCAATTAAATATTGGCAAGTTACTAGTAATATTCACAATGAAAGTTTAATTCTATTTGTATGGTAACATTTCCAGCTGTGTGGAGAAATATACGAGAATAATTTGAAAATATTCAATACACTAGACTCTTCCGCCATTTGTCGAATTTTTGCACAAGTTATTTACCAATAATGACACAAATCCCTTTTCAGACACTTCCCTTTTATTTCAAAATGTTCAATGCTGGAATATAAATCAGTTGCATTTAAATATTGCCAAATACTAGTAAAAATAACACAGCAGTCAAGAAGCTGATTCAAATTTTGAGTTTAAAACAGTCAATGCATTACTCACCGATGATGGAACACCATCAAGTATTCTACCACCATGGTTAGACACAATAATCCCCTGCACACCGTGCTTAACAGCCTCAATGGCATCATCAGGATTTAAGACACCTTTGAGTACCACTGGTAACTTAGTTTCAGATATGACATCATCCAAATCATGCCATGAAACACAAGGCTCTATCAGCTGCAATGATATAAATAATTTAATTACACAGTTTATTTATGCTGATCATTTTGAAACCATAATGGACTTTTATCACTCGTGAAATCTAGTTGTGACATTGCTGCAATATGAGAATTTCAGATTGCATAACAACAACAACAATTATTATATATCTACCGGTAGCACCGAAAAAAAATTCCCTTGTATGGAGAGATCTTAATAATGTCACCAAAACTGAACCAATTCTTGTTATTAATGTCACCATTCAAACATTTTTTTTGTTTTTTGGTGTGTGACATAGAATATTACAGAATAGTAAAAACATGTATCTCATATTATAATTTGATGGGGATCTTGGGGAGAGTATTCCCATAGTTGAAGTATTTGGGTATGCACCACTGTTTTTCACAATCAATTTCATGGTCGAATTGACCGTTCTGTCCCCCAATTTTAAGAAATTCGAAATTTGTGTGCCAAAACAGTACCATCAATGCCATGTTCTTAACTGACAGTTGAGCACTCCCACTAAAATTCCAGATGAAATGTATCAAAGTAGTACAAACAAATATATGTCTGGAAGAGAAAATGGCTGCCATTCAACCATCAAAATTATCAATTTGTAAATTTGAATTTACAAATTGAAGTGGCATACATCAACTGCCCATAATTATTATTCCTTCCACCATGTTTGAAGACATAATTCGTCAAAAATTAAAATGCCTGACAGTTGGCCATATTGAGTCGAATTTACAAGTCAGAGTGGTGAGCATCAAATACCTTTTATGATTTATAATTCTATTCACCAAGTAAGTTTGAAGTAATTCAGCCAACACACGTCCAAGAATTTTATTGTATTTTTACAACAAAATGGCTGCCAATATATGCATATGTATCAAACAAGGTTTCGGTAAAGGTATACCTGAGATACAGTTCCGGCAGCTGAACACATGAAGACTAAACTATAAGTCGCCTTCAGTTCGTGGATAATAGTAGCTCATTACATCATTCATTCATATCAACTATCTCTACTAACAAGTGATATCAGGTGATAACCCAATATAATATGGTTGTTGAGGTACAGCAAATAAACAAACAATAACAGTCACTTGTATTGAATGTGTCACATTGAGATGACCACTACTTTTTAAAATCAATTTTATGTCAAATATACTTACTTGATCAAGGACGGTAGTGACAGATTTATAATTAAAGTTAGGACATTCAGTATTCAATTTTGTTGGAAACTTGTGTTGCTTGCAACGCAATCCCCTGGCGCCATCAGCAGACACTACAATAGCTTCAAATCCAGCGTCTTCTGCTCGATGTATGAGTGACATATGAGCATTGTCCTTACACAGTCTTATTTGCAACCAATGAACTGCTGAGGGAGCACTTTTAGCAATACTTTCTATACTGGCAGAACCCAACATTGGTAAGATACTAACAATTTTCATATCATCTGCAGCTGTAATTATATTATAATAGAAGCAAAAAAATGAGAAACAATGATAGAAACATGCAGAGATGGTAAATTACAGTGAGATTGTATTTTTAATTAATTAAACAAGTCAAAATAAAGTAGTGTCTAACTAGTGACTTAAAGAAAATCAGAGACAACGTTGTCTAAGATTATTATAAATATGCTTGATGTTGATTAGCGATACTCTAAATGCAAGAAGTCACATCCAGTGTTGATAAACAATTGTGCGTCATCTGTTTTATGACAGACATAATTATACTGGCTGTACAAGCAACATAGTGTCTGACATGTCACATGTCATGGCATCAAAATGAGAAATTTATCTGTAAACATTTTTGGAATTAAAATAACGAAGAACCTATATTCAACCTGAATTCAACATCCACAAAATTCTACTTCAATATATACACTATCAGCAGTATGTGTCTGTATGTCATCAATGTGGTGAAGGGTAGTGGTTGCCACTGCACGCTTACTTCATGTGGGTTCCATACTACACATAGCAACATACACATGTAGGTCAAATGGGTCATTCATTTACATAAATTTGAAAAGAAAACTACCGTATTACCTACTGCACAACTACCACTACCCTTTAAATATTCCTGGCTCAATCCAGACTGTCGGTCTAATTTTCTACAAGTATATCAGTACATACACACACTATGTGATATCACTTAAAGACGAGGAAAAGTAAAAAGATTGAAGTGCTTTAACTCACCTCTTGCAACACATCTTTCTCCATCTGGCCATATGACAGATCTGGCTGAAGAGGGCGCTATTCCAATAGGCAGATCAGCGACACGGCCTAAAAACATTGTACGAAGGTCCACGTTTATTACTGGATGGAAAATCTTGGTCATGAGCTGAACTCTGATTAACATATGAAAAAAAACTATTATAGTTGTTTATTTCACATTGTTTAAGGTCTATCAACCTTAAGTCATGAAATCGTAACTCAATTATATAATCTTACTATCTCAAATCAGCTGTTTGACTGTTTAGCCAGTGATTATGTGACATTTAAACCTCCACCACATCTGAATTTCTACAATTATATCTTCTTGTAATTGATGTTACTGTAAAACATGTCATTTAGCTTGCATGTTATTTTAGTTCATTTAGCTACCCTGTAATGTTTATAATTTGAAAGAAATATTCTCACAATGATAGTAATGGCGCTTAGCTAAATTAAAGAAAAAGTCAAGACTAGGAAAAGTTAAGACTAACAACATAATGCTTACAGATAAAAGAGCTCAACAAATGAAATAGAATGAAATTTTTTTTAAAAGCACTTTTCATTCTTTAGATATTCAACTTTTCATCAGTTTATGTAGTCGGCCATTTTGATTTTCAGCAAAGGATTACGAGTAAATAATATGACATCATATCCACTGTTCTGAGAAAATAATTTCATCTATAACTTCAAAAGTTAAACTTCAAATTGGTTGAAAATTTAGAACATGGTAGCATATATGTACCGATGCTGAACATGCATATAAAATAGTTGTCATGGCAACAGTACTGAAAATATTATTTTGTGTGTTTTCTACCAAATACTAAATTTATTGTATATTTTACACAATTTATCGATGCATGTAGGTTATATAGGTGATATCTATAACCTGTTGACCAAAAAAAAAGGGACAAAAAAGTGTAATTCTTTTTAACGACCAAAATATCTTTATTTTTTGTGTATTTGTAACATTCTAATTTCCATTATTATATTTTTACACGAGTAATATGCACACCGAAAATTTGAACTCATTTGTATCAGTATTCCTCACACTGTAGATGAAAGCATCATTTCAATATTATGTCACACTTTATCCAGAATCCTTTGCTGGAGAATCAAAATGGCGGACTACATATTACTGATGAAAAGTTGAGTATCTGGAGAATGATTTTAAAAAACCTGTAAATTGCATTCTCCTACATTAATGGAGCTCTTTTAGCGGGGAGTTTTATGTTGTTTGCCTTGATTTCCCCTTTAATATTCTGTGAACTCATATGTAAGTTTGTTGACCTTTCCCATGATGCAATGGTCAAAGTGAAGTGATATAGTGAAAACATTCCAAATACATACATGTTGAATATAGTAAGAAACTTACTTTTTGAATGCCTCAATATTGGCAGGAATGGTTAGTCTTTTACCAGTTCCACCAGCAATATACCCAAAAAGATCAGCGGGTACATGATCTCTGGCATACTGCTCAAAGTCATCACAGCATATCAATTGTGAAGACTGTGACCTGAAAAAATATAACGATTATAAATAAATTTAAGTATAGAGTAACAGTGAGATATGAATGAATGAATGAATGAATGAATGAATGAATTAGTTTATAATAACTTTATTGAATCCTTGGAAAAATAATGTTTCTATCAGTTAATATCAATAAAGATTGGTTGTGAATGAAATAAAAAAATAATGAATCTTAAATACAAATTGTCGGAGGCGGACATTCAGGCATTTTCAGCGCTGGTGACTATTACCGGTGAAAACAAAGGCTGAAATCTCTTAGAAAACTGCACTTTGTGAGAAGATTCAGTCATAGGAATTTAATTGTAGTGTACAGACAACGTTACATTTAGTCTCTGCCGGTGAACGTTTTACAATTTTATAGAGGTCACATATAATTGTGAATATCCAAATACTTACCGAGGCTCTTTTTTCTTGAATAGGCGATAAATATACACTATAACAGAAATGCACACAAGTAGAAATACACAATCTTCAAAGTACATGGTCTACAAAAAATAACAGAACCAGTTGTTATAGAGGGGTAATTTTCATTCTTATATAATTGTGCAACCAGCTGGTGTATCAAACTTACACATCAAATTATATATTTACCCTGTAGTTGTTCAAGAAGTTCAAAGTTCGTTTTACTTATAGCCGCGGTTCCAACGCTCACATGTGCCAACGTTTAAACTGCTTTTGAATTTGACGTGTTCAAGATTGTATTTTGTTTCCCGTTGCAAGCCACTGACAAGTGAATACAGATCCCGGGATACGGCCAGTCATGACACAACCGATCACAGCTGACACGACCATTTTTGACCTCGCCGTTGGTGGCGTTTTCACAATTTACGTGCCATTCAAATAAACATGCAGACGTTTCCTTTGGAAATAATGAACAGCTTGTCGTGGGGTGGGGTAAGGTAGCAAGTACGGGACATCT